AGACCCTACTTGATACCAATGTATATAAAACAGAAATCAGTAAGCTCTGAGGCCTCCAGGAGCTATGTTCTTAAATCTTATGCTATTGATTGTAACTGCTCAGAGGCCTTCAGGGCTCCCTTCTGGGGTGTGGGAGGCTAGCTGCTGGTTCCGTAGGACCCTGCCCACCTGCCCGATCCCAGCGACACAATCTCACCAACAGCTGTGGCACAGTCAGTGCCTATTGAATAAACGGTCTAGTGGTTTTGGAACTGTCATATTTGACGTTGCCACCAAAGGGCTCTCCCCAAGGTCGCCAGGGATTCCAGTCTCTAAACCCAGTGGACAATTTCCAGTGTGGACAATTTTCAAAAACCAACGATAGTTCCAAGCTTTCTAGCCGGAGCTGCACGAATGACAGAATTGCTACCAACTGCTGTAGGTGTAGATTTGGAGGAAAGACCAGCAGCTCCGTTTTGGACTTAGGAGAGAGAGGTCTGGCTGGAGGTGAAAATTTGGGAGTTAAGAGCATATTAATACTCATTTAAAGCCAGGAGACCCAGGGAATGTGCACCAACAGAAGAAATATAATTGGAGAACCCCTGAGGAGCTTCAATGTTTAGAATTTGGGAGGTGAACAAGAACCATAAAGGAGGCTGAGAGTCACCAGTGTGGTGAGAGGAAAGCAAAGGAAACGTCAGAGGAGGGAGACATGGGCTGTGTCAGATTCTGTCGTTAACTACCTTGAGACCGCTGTGCCGGAAAGGTCATTTATAGCCCCGAGAGCCCCCAGGCTACACGGGGGGGGTCTCTGGCTGCCTTGTGAATGAGCCATCATGAACACGTGGCCCAGGTGAGCCTTCAGGTTGACTATAGCCACCACAGACATCTGACTGCAACCACACGGGCCTCTCCGTAGGCCTTTTCACAACACGGTAGCTGACTTTCCTGGAGAAGTCATGAGAGATAGGGATCCTCTAGCCTCAGGAAAGCCTTCAGATGACTGCAGGTACAGCTGACAATTTGACTACAACGTTTTAAGAGACACTGAGCTGATGGGGTGTCTGGGTGGCTCAGCTGGTTAAGTGTCCAACTCTTGATTTCGGCTCAGGTCATGATTATCTCATGGTTCATGGGTTCCAGCCCCACATCAGGCTCTGTGCTGTCAGCATGGAGCCTGCTTGGGATTCTCTCTTTGTCCCTCTCCTGCTTATGCTCTCTGTCTCTCTAAATAAATAAATAAACATTAAAAAAAGAGAGAGAGAAACCACCCAGGTAAGCTACTCCCAGATTCCTGACCTACAGAAACCAGTGAGATAATGAATATTTATTGTTTTAAGCCACTACACTTTGAAGTAACTTGAATGTGGTTAACAGATAACTGATACGTGTGGCAACAGCCTCATTTCATGGGTGAAGAAGGTAAAGCTCGGGGGACAAGGTGACCAGCTCAAGATCATGGAATGAACGAATGACAGAACCAGCTTGCACCCAGAGTAGGATCTTGCACATGGTATGTTCTTGACGAATATTTGTTGAATTGGCCCAATCATTTTCTTCTGCTGTCAGGTTAGGTTATAGTTGAAGTACAACAGTGATGAGTTACAACCAATTATTATAAACATAAAACCAGTCTGCATGATTGATTAAATGCTATGGGGCCTAGAGACATCTCCTCTCCATCTAGTGACATGCTGACTCAGGGAAAAGCGAAGGCTTGAGTACATGCACATTTGTCTTCCTTGTTGCCAGAATCCAAACATGCTTGTTTTTGGGGTATCCCAAGAGAACTAATAGGGCCTGTGTCAGTCAGGGTCCAATCGGAAGAAGCCACACAATAATTTAAACCGTGATTTAACATAAAAGTTATGAATTGTCCTGTAAGAATTCTAAAGAAATACCAGGGATAAGGACCAGGCGCTAACTATCTCAGGGGCTGAATAGATGCCCAGGGAAGAGGCTCCCAACTGGAGGGCTGAAATCCAGCCCATGTTGGATACATCCAGATATACAGAATAGATACAGAAGAAACACAGAGAAATTGTTGCAGTGCCACACTGGCAGAATTTGCTGGAAATCTCCCCTTTAGGGTACTGGGGAAGGCTGTTCATGGTGAAGTGTCTCAGCAGAAAGATTACATCATACAACTGCCTGTAGGGATAAGCCAGGGGATGCTGCTGACTGCGGGGGCGGGGGGGGGGGCTGCAGGACACTGGTGCTGGAGACATCAGCTGCACTGCAGGAGTCAGCCAACTGAGCAAAACCAGGAAGGAAGACTCCTTACTTTTGAAACGTGTCTCCAGTGCCCTCCACTGACAAAGCTTAACATCAGGCCTGCTGTCAGAGGAAAGATATTTAAAGGGCCCAGATCCATTTTTAGAGAGCAGACAACAAAGAATGAATTTGGAGCGGAGAAGCAAGTAATTGATAAATAGCACAACCTGGCTCAAAGATGCGTAAGAAGTCTACAGCTCAGGCATTTTGCTCGAGGCAGCAAGTGACGGTTTTTCCCTGGCTTGAGACAAGCAGAAAAACAAACACGAAGTATGGCAACCAGCTCCATCAGGCCGAAGTCTCAAACTAAAGTTGGGTAGCCAAGTAAGTTAGACAAGCAAGCGTAACAGGCCCCAGTATATGAAAAATCAAACGCCAAGGGAAAAACAAACAACCTGAACTTTTTTTTTTGCAATCGAACCACACTGCAAGTGGGTAACATATAAAGTTTATAATACTGGGTGTTTCAAAGACAAAATTTAAAAATACATGTTGAAAAATAGAAATCTTTTAATTATTAAAATTTTTGTTCATAATCTGTTATTCCTTTGATTTGGAACCAGAAACCTGACACCTTTTTTTCTGCACCAAGATGTCAATGTCTGGTCTCATATTTCGAGTCGCAATGTGGAGAACTGAGTGTAATCCTGTATCCTTTAATTGGGAGCGAAACTTAGTTTTACTCAATTTCATAACAGAAAACAGCTGTTCACAGACATAGGTGCTTCCGAACATGGACAGAATTTTTGCACAATGTTTTCTGTATTTGGGGTAACTCTTGCTGAGGTATTTGTAGAATTCTGGTATTCCAATGTCATCATATTTTGTTTTTAATACCGTATTACACTGCAGTTCAATAACTTCCATTTGTAATTCTTCATTAACACTATCGATGTTAATTGAGAAAGGTGAGCTAAACAGTATGAGTTCATTTTCATAATGTTTGAAATCAAAGAACCTTTTTTGGAATTCCATCTTTAACTCCGCAATTTTGGGGATGTAGATTAAGCCATCACGTTCGTTTCTGGAAACCGATTTCAGTGTAGGAAAGTGAGCCAGATTATTTGCAGCCAAATGAGCTTCCCAGAGACTCAATTTTGCGAGGAAAGAGCAAACTGAATCATACATTTGTGTCACTACTTGTGAACGTCTCTGAAGGGAGATATTCAAAGTGTTCAGATGGTTTGTGATGTCAACTAAAAAGGCCAGGTCTCTGATCCAGTCTTCGCTGGTGAGCTGGGGAAGGGGTTTGCCCTTGGAAGACATGAACACATCTATCTCTTTTATCAATTCAAAAAATCTCTTCAGCACCATGCCACGACTAAGCCACCTTACCTTTGTATAGTAAAGGAGATTACCGTATTGGGCATTCAGTTCCTCAAGCAAAGCCCTGAACTGCCTGTGGTTGGAGCCCCGGGTGCGTATCCAGTCCACTGTGTTAATCACTACGTCCATGACATGTTCTAGCTTTAACTTTTTAGTACAAAACAATTCCTGGTGAATAATGCAGTGGATAGATTTAAGCTCTGCATCCTTGAAAAACATTTTGACCTTGGACTTAAGTTTTGCCACAAGTCCAGTGTTATCACAGACCATCGCAGGAGCACCATCTGTGGTTACACTTACTAGTTTTGACCAGTCAACATTAAACTTTTCAAGACTTTTCTCAACATACAAAAACAGGTCATTCTCAGATGTTGGGTCTGTCATGGGCACCATGTCCAAAAGTTCTTCAGTGATGTCAAAATTCTCATCAACACCCCGGATAAATATAATCAACTGCCTCGTATTATTTATGTATGTGCTCTCATCAACTGCAATAGAAAATGTCACAAACGATTTCACTTTTTCTCGCAACTTGTCCTGTAGGTTCTCAGCCATATCTTTTACTCGCTGAGCAACAGTGTTTCCAGTTAGACTTATGTTGGCAAATGCCGGTTTCTGCTCTGGACACAGGATTTCCGCAGCACTCAAGAGACAGTCTTTTATAAACTCACCATCTGTAAAAGGTTTCGATGCCCGGGCAATTTTCTCACTTATGACATAACTGCATTTCACAGCAGCATCACTTAGTTTATTTGTATTTGATGACAGATGCTGAAGAAACTTTAGTCCTTTCTTTAGTTCGTTAAGTTTTTCATCACGCATCTCTTCCATATACCGGTCAAAGTGCTTGCTATGGTTTGCCTCGTAATGGCGTCTTAAGTTGTATTCTTTTGACACAGACAAAGTCTGGTTACATATTAAACACACGGGGCTGTTCTTAACTTCCACAAAGAAATATGCTCGTTCCCACTTTTCTTGAAACATGCGATGCTCTCGATCCATCTTTCGTTTTCCCACTTTTGACAGAGAAACAGGGACAAAAACAGAGTTCACTTTTCTTTACTGTAAGAGAAACACCACCACAAGCCTGAAGATAAAATGGTGCCTGACACTGGTTCTGAGGAGTGGAGGAGGGAGGAATGGAACCTGTAGCAAACTGTAAAGCCTTCCAAAGGGCACAGCCACGACTCAGCCGGGGCAGATTGTGAGTATGTGGGAACCCAGGCCCCACTGCCACCAGATCTACCCAATTGCTGAAGCAAAGCCAGATATTGTTATTTTAACACAAAATCAGCCGACTTTTAGACACGGTAAATTAAGGCAAAATATGCCAGACACTGCGAAAGGCAAACAAGGTGAGTAAGTGTAAGGATCGTAAAGAACCCCATGGTACCAGTTTGGCCTCCTGCAGCCCGACTCACCTCCTAGCATTCGGCCAACCACTTCCAGGGTTGCCAGGGCTTCTACCCCACACTGACCCAGGGTGGCTTCATCCTGCAGGGGAGAACCTGCCAGAAGCACGACTTTGTCTTCAGTGGTGAGGCCCTCCAGGAAGGCCACATGAGCCTAGGGAAGAAAGGGAGGGTCAAGAGTGTTCTCTGGGGGAAGTCACAGGAAGCCAGGCACAGGGCACATGGGTTAGGGAAGCTCAGGGATACACTATCACCTTTACCTTGATCTGGGCAACTGTCTCCAGGCCGGTCACTTCAAGAGTGTGCAGCTCCCGGGCACGGACAAACAGCTGCATGTCAGTGACTTGGCGACAGAGAAGAGTGAGGTCAGCAGCTGGGAGACTCAGGAAGAGGGGTTGTGGGGGTCCAGGACAGTTCGTGGGGCAGAAGAACACTAGTGGGCGGAACAGCATCCTTGGGGAATCGCGGGGCAGAGCTAACCAGAGCCCGCAGTGGGGGCACGCACAGGGGCGAAAGGTTAGACCTCCCCCGACCCCGAGCCCAGGTCCCGCTTCCCCGTTCCCCTAAGCCTTGCTGCCTTCGGTCCCTCAAGTATCACGTTTCCGTTCCACCCGGATCTTACCTGGGACCGAGCCTCGCGCCGCCGTAACCGTGGAAACGGAATCCGGAGGCTACAGAGCGAAGGCGCGAAGACACCCGCCACTAGGGGCGCATTGCGTCACTGCCCCGCGCCTCCTCAGGCCTCGCCCCCGCGCCCTTCGCCACGCCCCCACCCCGCGGTCCGCGCACGCGCGGGCGCCCTCCAGGGCGGGCAAAGGCTCTCGGAGGCGGCGCCAAGATGGCGGCCCCCGTGCTCAGGCTCTTTTGGCAGAGCTGGAAAGCGGGCTCTCTGCCCCTTGTGGGATGCGGCAGGTGATGGGAGCCGCTTAGCCTAACACTCACACGGAAGTCCAGCCATTTCTCGGGACCTCGGAGCAACGAGTAGCCCGCTAGAACCTCGGTTTTCTCCTTCGAGATGGACATCTGTTTTAAGCACAGATAGGGTGAGGGTGCAGAGAAAGAGAGGAGGTAGCAAAGATTGCGCAGGACAGGGGCGCCTGGCTGGCTGAGTCAGAGGAGCGAGTGACTCTTGATCTTGAGGTTGTCAACTCGAGCCCCATGTTGGGTGTAGAGATTACTTAAAAATAAAATCTTCGAAAAAACGCGTAGAGGGACAGAACGACCACGGGGCTTCAGGTGTGGCCATGGTCCCTGATGGCCTCAACTACAAGGAGCAGCATGTTTAGTTCGGCTCCCTCTTTTCATGTAGACTGGGGGCAGGAGGCAGACTGAGTGGGACGCCCAGGAACTGTGGGTCCCAGAGGGCCTTCGGCCCACCCCCACCTTGGCAGCCCCTTTCCGTTGTAACCCTCAGGCCTAATCCAGCACTGGGGTATTGTGTTGGAAAGAAATACTCCACGAGGATCCTTATGGCAGAATAGTTGTCATAGATTGTAGGGGGGAAAAAAAAACAAAAACAAAAACCTAGGCCTGAATCCCAACTCACAGTTTACCCTGAGGGTCTAACTCTTCTGTGAAGCTGGGCAACAATAATTACTCTCCAGAAGGGTTGCAGGAAATAGGTACAACTCTCACTTAGCATGGTGTTGGGTATGCCTGCATAAAACTAAAACCAGGAAAAACGTGTATCAGAAAGACTTTTAAATGTTGAAAGCCTTTTATCTTTGCCTGGTATAATGGTTTAGACTTTGGAGCCAGACTGAATTCAGATCGCAGTTCCGTGGCTTACAATCTCTATGATCATCGGCAAGTCACATAACCTGTACCTCAGCTTTCTCATCTGAGAATGGGGATAATAGAACCTACTCCTATGAGAATTGAGTAAGTCAATGTATTTATAAAGCATTTGGAACAGTATCTGGCACAGAATAAGTAAAACATTGTTAATAAATAAAAACAGATATACCATGTTGAGTTAGACTTGTGATCCAAGCGTTTTTTCGTAATTCTTCAAACACAACTCACTTGAGCCTCACAGATGGGAGAAGCAGACACGTCAGAGGCCAGCCCTTTTCCAGTCTTGTAACCCATTAGTCTGGGTTCCTGGCCTTGGCTTCTGCTTTGCTCCCTGCCTGGAATGTTCTCCTTTCACCTGTTGAGTTTCTTCTATCCATCCTTGGAAGCCAGTCGCTAAGTTGGTTGTTTCTTTGCTTCAGACACAGACCCAGGAGCTGACTAATCACTCTACCATGGTGGAGGCTGGTTGAGTGCTAGTCTGTGGAGATCCTGCTACCCCCAGAAGTATCCCAAAGCCCCCAAAGCATGCACAATGTTTCATCTTGAGTGGCTGGCACCTCTACACATTTAATCCCAGGATATGGGGGTAGCTTGAAGGCTGTGAGGGACTTTCAGGGGTACCCTGAGGGCAATAGTATCCATCACCGTAGCCCTTGGTGTTTGTGGAAGAGCCCACTCCCGCATCCCATGGTCGGCCCGTCCTCATCTGGGGTTTGCCTGATGGACAGGACCTGTGGGGAAATTCCCCAGGGCTGACATCTGACTCAGGTCTTCAGGAGTGGCCAGAAGTAGAGCCCTCTGTCTCCAAACACTATTGGATGCCTTACAGAGCTTTCCCAGATGAGAACCAGTGAAGCACAGAGAAGACCCAAGTGCTTGGATTCCCCCAGTAGGCCTGTGTTCTTGGCCTTGCATCCCTCTCGTTGCTGCCTGAGGTTTCTAATTCAAGAACATGTGGCATCACAAGAACATAGGCTTGGGAGTCAATGGGTCTAGGTTTAATTTTGGCCCCGTCATACACTGTGGGTGTCAGTCTCTCCCAACCTCAGTTTCACCAGGATAGAGATACTACATCTGACCTCAGAGGGCTGTTAGGATAAAATGAAGGTGCACATAAATCACTCAGAACTCTGTTCCTTTGTTCCAGAAATTTATCTGAGTCTTCCCGGCCTAAAGAAGGGAGAGATCGTTCTCAGAGAGTCACCTAAAACCCCACAGCAGCTGTGGCCTTGGTTTCATTTATACATTCATTTCTTCCTTCATTCCACAGACACTTACTGAGCACAACTCAAGCAGGAGACAAGTGCCAGGCCCTGTGCCCGACAGTGAGGTGTCAGGGTGAATAGTTTGTCCTGGCTGTAAACTTATGGAAAGGGAGGCTCTTGACCTGGAGTCTGGAGGTGGCTTGGCCATTTGGTGCTGCCCGTCTGTAGACGCTGAGAAAACAGGTGCTCAGCTTTGGGGAGATGAAGCCTAGGGAGAACTGGCTTATCATCCGTATTCTTTGCAACTCCCCCCTCCCCCCACCTCACCCAACCCGCCCTACTCTGTAAGGTGTTTCCCGACGCACAACATCACCTACCTTGTGTACGAGCACTACCCACAGCAACCTCCAGATGAGAAGAGGGGAGACTTCTAGTCAGTGGGTAGATGGGTCAGACTTCTGGTCTCTTGCCTTTTCAGGGCTAAGGGGGTGGGAGCCCAGAAGGCTGAACTGCTCTCTCTGTCCTATAGAGGGATGAGGCACCCGGCTAGGACTGACCGACCTCCTTCCTTCTGGACATGGAGAGTTTCCCTCCGGTGGTACCAGGTTTGATGCCCATCACCTAGACCAGCCAGGTGATGGAGGATCATGCTGACCAAGGGCAGCTACATCTTGGCTCCTAGAGAAGGGCTTCTGACGTTTGGCCAAGCAGCCTGCGTGACAGTGTTCCCTGCGTTACAGACAAGCTCTCGAGGTGGTGGAAGAAGCAGGGCCTCAGAGCTGGGGAGAGGTGCTGGCACTGTGAGGCAGGAAGCACAGTGGCCGGAATCCTTGGCACCAGTCCCTGCCCTGAAAGGGGGAGGCATGGGAGCTTGCAGAGGTTGCCAGCAGTGGAGGAGGGAAGACAGGGCCAGAACAGCTACGTACCTTCAAGGAGGGAAGACCCACCAGGAGTCGCCAAGCAAGGGATGGCACGGCTGACGGCCCCCGTGTGGTTCCTATCCTGACACAACTCAAGCAGGAGGCAAATTTAGGTTCTGGAAATGGGCATGGTGCCGGGAGGGGGTGAGCCTCAAACGTCTCCTTCGTAGGCCACTTCGTCCTTGCGATCTCACTCCTGTAAGTGCCGCTGAGCCCCTGCCTCGTGCTAGGCTGAGCAGAACTGACCCAGGGATGGGCATGAAGGACAGTCCCGCCGCCCCCGCCCCGCCCCCACGTGGGAGCCGCCTCCTAGTCCCTTCAGATTCCGTTTCTCCAGCCCAGTACAGCCACCAGGAGTGGCTTCCCAGGGCCTTTGGGCTGGTGCGTGATGCAGGGAGGATGGGGGGCACAATTCCAGGGGACCCGGGGAAAGCACATCCCCCTTCCCTGGCTACTCTGGCCTCAACTCAGGTCCAGGTCAAGTGTGGCCTTCCAGCTGGGTGAAGCTCTAAGGAGGGTGTCCTTTTTTCTTGTCTTCCTCTCCCAAGGTAGAAGGGACAAGCCACCCAAGCGCTGAAGGGGGACCTTGCAGGCAAGAAGGTGCTGGCCCTTCAGCTCCCCACCCCCTGCCTACAGGGTTATTTGGACATAAAAAAAGAAAGAAGCATCGACGCGTGCTACGGCATCGATGAGCCCTGAAAACACGCCAAGTGGAGGAAGTCAGACCCCAAAGGACAATTATTTTATTTTATTTATTATTTACTTTTATTAATGAAAAGAAGAAGTTACTTTATTTTTTCTTTCTTTCATTAAGATTTAAGGGTCTTTGCGGGGGGCACGTGGGTGGCTCGGTCGACTGAGCGTCCAACTTCGGTTCAGATCATGATCTCACAGTTTGTGAGTTCTAGCCCGGCAGCAGGCAGGTGTCAGCGCAGGGCCTGCTTCGGACGCTCTGTCCCCCTTCCTCTGTGCCCCTCCCCTACCTCTTGAAAATAAATAAAATATTTTAAAAATATATATAAGGGTTTTTTTTTTTTTTCTTTAAAAAATTTTTTAACTCCAGGGGCACCTGCGTGGCTCAGTCACTTGAGTGTCTGACTTAGGCTCAGATTATGATCTTGCAGTTCCAGAGTTCAAGCCCCACATCGGGCTTGCTGCTGTCAGTGCACAGCCTGCTTTGGATCCTCTGTTCCCCTCTCTCTGCCCCTGTCCTGCTCATGCTCTCTCTCTCTCTCTCTCTCAAAAATAAATAAACATTTAAAAAAACCCCAAAACTCTCCTGCCTTAAAAAAAAAAGAAAGAATATAAAAATTTAACTCCAGTATAGTTAACATACAGTGTTGCCTTAGTTTCATGGGACAATTATTTTAGATTCTATTTATAGGAAATATCTAGAATTGGCAGATTCATAGA